AAAAAAAAAAAAAAACCTCTTTCTGCGTTTCAGCGGCTTTTCGTTGTTCCTCGGGTTTCTTTCCCCTTAGGTAGAGCAGCTCCCCATGGAAAAGGGGGCTCCATATCAGCAAGGACGGCTTCTGTGACATCCAATGAGCAACTTAGGCAAACAGTAGGTGATGGGAGATGGGTTGTAGCACTGCCCTCTAAAGAGAGGCCCCCCTGAGGACAGAGGGGCTAAGATTGAACAAAAAAAATGGTTGAATAGAGGGTGTTATCTGCTTTTTTAAAGGTTGTTCTCTGAACAGTCCTTTAACAGCCTCTCATTTGGGCCTGTCCATTTTGTGCCCTTAAGAGATTTTATGTCTCTATCCATGCACTGAATGTTGATTATTAAGTTCACTGCCTGTGAAGACTTTCTCAGTACAACGATCCACAACTGATTGAAAATTGTCTTTTTTTTTTGCAAGACAGTAGAGGCCTTGAGGTACTCATGCTCATAATATACTAGCAAAGACTGTTCTTTTTGTTTGCTTTTTACTTATTTGCCTGGTTAGTGGAGGCCATCGCTGTTCATCAAGCTGTCTGAAGAAGCTCTCAGCTTCCTTTCCTGAACTGATAAATTGAGAGTTAGATGGGAGAGAGAGCTGACCTATCATGTGAACTTAAGGTTGCTGTGTGTTGTGTCTTGCTGCATTCTCTTGGGGGCAGAAACTTTGCTGATACCTACCTGTTGCTTGTGACAGATTTCCACTGGTGACTAAATAACTTGTTCCTTACTCTCTGTATTCTGTGCAGGGATTGCTCAGTAGCTTTGCTGAACAGCTTTATTACTTTGTTCTGTACCCTGGTTGAGAATTGCTGAACTAACTAGCAGGGTGGTAGATGAAGGGCATTGCTCTCCTCCTCTGGTTGTGTTACTAATTAAGGAGTTGTCATTTCTCTATTTGGAAAACCAAAGGATAGTGCCATCAGTTGTTGGTGGTGTTGGTGGCTCTGTGGAATGCACAGTAAAACAGGGTGAGTGGCAGCTTAGAGCATTAAGCTGGGGCTACAGCTGGACATTAAGGGGATGTTTCTCATCTGCATGGTGGGTAAGAGCTCTGAAGTAGTGGCACTGCCCTGTTTCCTTTTAACTTTAGTGTATCGTATTGCAGTGCCTCGTACTCAGGAAAGCGCTGATAACTGATTGAAACTGCTTGGATATGAAGTAAATGCTTTGCCACAGTCTTACTCTGCTTATTAAATTTCTTAGGGTGGCAGCAGAAGGGAGCTTAAAGCACTTGGACCTGTAGCCTTGATGTCAGGGTGAAGCAGCTCTGCCAGAAAGCTACTTGAGTTTGCTCATCTGTGGCAACACTTGGAGAAAGTCTTGCAAACTTTGCCCAAAGTCGTTCTAAGCCCTCCTTTTTGTGTGACTCTTTTCTAAAAGGCCAAGCCATGTAGTGTCTCATGTCTCTGGGTTAGATCTGTGCAAATGTTTAGTGGTAAAAGGCCAGAAATGCAAAATGATGTTTTAAAAACCCCAACCCTCCAAGACTTTCTAAGTGTCTTGCACTTCAGTTAGTTGCCGGCACAGTCGCCAGCAATGAGGAAGAGATGGGACGTAGCTAGGCTTGCTTAAGGCAGGCCAAATATCCTGCACTCTAAGAGGTCTTGCAGTTTTCACCTGTAAAATCGTGTTCTGTCGAACGCTCTAGCTCTCCAGTTATGCCATAATTTTGGCAGCTACGTGTCTGTGTCCTTAGTGCAGTTAACCAAGATTTCATCTAAAGAAAATAGGAAAGTGCTTGTTGCCGGTTCTGCTGGTCTGGAAAATGAAATCTAACCAAAATCATGCTGACATTGAAACGATAACCGAAGGGCAAACATTTGTGATTTCTCATTTCTGCACGCTTTGCTAGCAGTGTTGCAGCACGTAGGGAAGTGGCATCAAATGCCTCATGCTACTTAACACCACCCTTAGACTGTGCTTACAGAAGAAGGCTATTAAAACTATTTTCCACCCTTTCTAAATAGGCAGCGAAAACCTAGAGCTCTCTTGGGTTATGACTGCAGAGGTGCAATGGCAACTTTTGTATCTGTGCCTGTGTTTTCTCTAAATTTATTAACATGGGTTCTGGCAGCAGCGTCGGTTTGCTTTTTTTTTAGCTGTCTTGGATATGGCAAAGGTGCCGCTGCCCCATATGAACTGTGGTTTTTTTTTGGGGGGGAGGGGGGACCTTAGGTCAGGCTAGAAGGCCAAGGCTTTGGGTTCGTTTAATAGGAAGTGGTCCCAAGTTGGGACAGGGAAACCTTGAGGTGCTTGCCTTTTGTTTTAAAGTTCATGTTGGGTCAGCAAATTAATCCTGATGCAGGTCAGGCAGCTGAGAGCGCCAGCCTAATTCCAAATACCTTGGTGAAAAAAAAAATCATTGCATATAAAAGTGGGTTTAAAAGAAAGCGAGTAAAAGGCTGTCTCAAATGCTGGCAGCCATCCATCCATCACCATGTCATTCCTTGCAGCTTAATCTTTTTTTTCCTTCTTGTTTCTATGTGGAAGAAGAGGTTACAGTCTCGCTGCTGCCAGCAGCTGAAGAGCTTTGTACTGTGAGTTAGTGGAAGCTGGGGATCCTGGTGGCTAATGAGGCCTTGAATTTCTTGCACAGTTACCAAATGATCATTGTAAAAGTGAGGAGCCAGTTGATGCTGTAGGGAATATTGCTGTTCTAAGCATGTACCTACGACCCTGCTGCCCTGTGAGATCATTTCACTTCCAAGTTTCATAGAAAGAGCTTGTAAATTCTCCTGTACTTATTGGTGACATTAGTGAGAGTGATTAAGCTAGGTAGCCTTCTGGATGCTGTTCGAAGTGCTAAATCCCAGGTGCTGTGTTGAGTTGTGACCAGGAGCATTTCACCTCTCCTGTGATTTCTTCCCAGGTTATGCTAGTATGTGTCCCTCTATGAGCCTTGTGTGTGTTGGCAGTTTTCTTTTGGGTCACTCTAGGGGTTGTTGAGTGTCTTCTGGTGCCTTTCTGCTGAAGGGCAGGACAGCTCCACCCCTCTGATTTTTGCTCTTGATTTGGAGAGACTGTAACTAGTGTTTGCCCTGCTGCTTGTTCTCCTTCAGGGCAAGCTCCCTGGGGATCCATGAGGCTTTAATAGCCTCAGCACACCAACTGGCATTCTGATTTTGTGTCTCCCAGCTGATCGAGTGGCTGCTGGTTTGAGTTTTGGTCAGGAAATTGGTGGCTGTTTTCTCAGATCTTGAATTAAAAGCCTGGGAGCTTCAGACTGAAGTGATCTTCCATAAGCAATAAGTGAATCTTCCAGAATTGCCTTCTGTCCTGTGCCAAAATCTCCTGTAATCAGCTTTTTCCTTCTGTTAATAGCAGGTGGGACCTAAATCATCATTTTGATGTCAGTCAGGTAGGGGATGTGAAGCTGCTTGTGGTTCCACATGTTTAGATTACCTCTCCCTTTGCTTATCTGGATGCGTGTCCTGCCTTTAGAAATTGTTGGACTCTCCTGCTAGGAAGAGGGTTTGAAAACTGTCAGGCAAAGAGCGCCCTGGGCTGGAGAAATAGCACTCGTGCCAATAGTGATGTTCTGTGCAAGTTAACATGAGGAATCCTTGGGAACTGAAGCAAGAGCAGAGCTGTCCCTCTCCAAAGGAGCCTTGGATCTGGCTAGCAACCCAGTGCTGCTGGAAAGAGCTGAGAAAGGCTCCATTTGCTGACGCGTGATTCCCGTTATCTCTTTCAGATAGTGTTGCCATGAGCAAGCGCGGTGTCTCTGGAGAGCTGGGGCTGCCCCAGGAGCCGCCGAATAGGCACACACAGCTCAGTGCCATTCTGCTGAGTGACAGTCGCTTCTTTACGCGGAGCCTTCCCTGGCAGCATCTCTGTGACGGAGCGCTGAGCTCCCTTAGTAGATACAGAGGCAAGGAGCCGTTCGTAGCGCTGTTTCCATGGCACAGATCTGCCTCTGCAGAGGCTGGTGGAGGACAGGATGACTGACTAAGCTCTGTTCCTCCCATGGGACGTGGGATGGACTGTGGTAGTCAGAGGATAACGATGGTACTTGAGATAAAAGCTTCTTGATATCGAGAAGCCGAAGAGTAGTTGACTTTGTGCCCAATTAGTTGAGATAAGCAAACTTAAGCTATGTTGAACATGTAGATGGAGAGACCTGTGAAGAGACTAATATATATATAATGTGTGTATATATATATTTTAATAAACTAAGATTTTGCTTAAGACCATGCCCATGAGATTAATGAAATGTGCTGGCATAGTGCTTTGCCTGCACTTAAAAAAAAAAAAAAAAAAAAAAGTCTGAAGATTCAGGAGGCACGGGAGAACTGCAGGAATGAGAGATCTTATATCCAAAGGAATCTTGGTGTTTGCACTTAGCTAATTCCAGGGGAGACTGAGAGGTAATCTGTTAATTTACAGCTCTTTGCAGAGCTCTTGATACTTCTGTAGAGGCCTAGGAAGGCTTAGTGTCTAATTGAAAGTAGAGGGAAATTGAGTGAATTGCTGAGCATTAGGAAAGCAGATTTCCAGAAGAAATTATGGTCTTATTGTTTGAAACATTTCAAGACTTTGCCATTGTAGAGCGCAGTTTGCCTTCCAGTGTGTTCAACCTTTGCCAGTCTCAACAGTCCCAGTGCCGCTGATTTTGAGTCTGCCAATAATTTTCAGTGTGCCTTAACTTATCAGCGATTAAGTTTGTTTGCTGTTGCTTGTAGTACTAATAAAGTCCTAATGACCTGGCCTTACAGTAACAAACTTGCTTATCTCTTTCCACAGTAATTTGTAGAAAGCACTTGGCTTCTCCAGCAACCTGTTTTTCCAGCGATCAGCTTGAACAACGAGAGTGAAATTAGAGTTGCCATGTGAACACTGTGGAATGAGTTTGCAGTTGGCTTATAGAGAAACTTCTTGGCTCTTAATGCTAAATATCTTTCTCTTGCTAGGCTAAAGAAATTCTTACGAAGGAATCAAATGTGCAAGAGGTACGTTGCCCTGTCACCGTCTGCGGGGATGTCCACGGTCAGTTCCATGATCTTATGGAACTCTTCAGAATTGGTGGGAAATCACCGGACACAAATTACCTCTTTATGGGAGACTACGTGGATAGAGGCTATTACTCGGTGGAAACAGTAACTCTTCTAGTAGCATTAAAGGTATGGACAGACAACCTTATTATTTATTTATTTTTTTTAACAGTCTTAGACTTAAACAGACTGCTTTTCTGGGAGAGGGAATTCACACTGATCTACACATGTGATAATTGAATGTTAATGGACACATGTTTTTTGTATAAGAGCTGCATACTTGCCATGCTTCTGAAAATTACCACTAGTGTTTCCTTCTGTGTGGACTGCACCATGCTTATGCTGGTAATAATATAAATAAAGTAATGTTTTCTTCATCGTTAGGTGCGTTACCCAGAACGCATTACAATACTGAGGGGAAATCACGAAAGCAGACAGATTACACAAGTGTACGGCTTCTACGATGAATGCCTGCGCAAGTATGGAAACGCCAACGTCTGGAAGTATTTCACAGATCTCTTCGATTACCTTCCGCTTACGGCTCTAGTAGATGGCCAGGTAAGTTTTTGGGTCTTAAATGAGGGAAGTTGTCCATTCCATAAAGAGGAGATCAGATGGAGAAAATACAGGCCATGTTGTCTGACCTGTATGTGACTTGTCTCAAAACAACTCCCTTAGCTTGTAGGCAGTGTGCTTTAAAGCTCATTCACTTATTGGGGGTGGTGGGAATAATTTTAAAAACTGTTCAATTAAATCAGCTATTATTACAAGCTGACAGAGCAGCAAGGCCTTTGCTCACAAAGGAACAGTGGATGTTTCACAGTTTAATGATTGCCCAACAAGCAGGAGACCCTTGGCATGATCTATTACGTGTGAGTTGAGTCACTGCTGTGAGGGAAGATATTCTTGAAACAGAAGGAATATTCCCTCTGCTGCTCCTCTGACTTTTGTATGGAATGTGTAGCCCTTTAGTTTTGTTCCTATCCCCTGGAATTAAATCTGATTGCTTTGCTGTGAGGCAAAGATTGTACTTGAAATAGTGTTTCACATTGCTATTTGTGAGATCACTTTTCCAGTAACAAGATGCACTGACTAGATTGGTCTCTTTTCTGAACCAGATATTCTGTCTCCATGGTGGCCTCTCTCCATCGATAGATACACTGGATCATATCAGGGCTCTGGACCGCCTGCAGGAAGTTCCACATGAGGTAACAAGAAGGGAAATGTACTTTTACTTTTAGATATTAGCTAGCCAACAGTGCAAGTGCAGCCACATTTTGAAATCCATTGACACAATGAGATATGTTGCACAGCAGACTCTTTTCTTGGTTAGAGCAAGAGCAGGCAAACATTAATTTGGGCAAAACAGACCCTAGTCAATAGGTGCCAGTTAGAGCAGTCTGCAGAACTGCTCTAGAGCAGTTAGAGCTGTGGGGTTTTCACAGCTCTTTCTGGCTGTAGCACAATCTTGAAGAATTGCGTGTGTTTGGCAGGACAAAACCTTTGTCCCGCTCACACACTTGATTATGAACACGTTGTAGTCACGTGAAGCTGTGTCATGTCCCCATGTCACTCCCCAGATGATACTTTCTTGTTCTGTACTGACTCACTGTGGCCACTATCACTTCCTTCCCACCTGCCAAAGTTGGGGGGGCTACCAGGCTGTTCCCAGCGTGACATGTCTAGCAATTCTGTTCAGGAGAGGAAATCAAATGAATAGTAAATCCCCTGGCAGGGGAGATGCTGAAGATTAAACATCCATCTTGTGAATGGCCTGTGACCTTCTGCAGGTCCTTGTTGTTGCTTTGATTTATTGCGGCATGGCTGGTGTAATTAGCCCCTTGCCTGTCCTTGGTCTTCTGTGTCCCCTCCTGTGGGCATTGCTAATATGGAGTGTCAGGAGTGAGAATGTGCAAGTGCTCTCTGTGTCTTCCTAATGCTTATACTAGCTGAAGTACAATCCTAAACGGGGTGCGAGGAGGAGGAGGTGGGAACAGTTTTCTGATTACATGGCCTTCTTTATCAGCTGTGTACAGGTCCCTTCTTGTGAAAGGGTGTTGACCCATACACTGAGTAACTCGCTGGTGATAATGATACATAAACACTTACGTGTGGCTTATGTGTGAAGAATAAAATGCTGACAAGCCTTTTTACTGTAAACAGAATACACTGTAAAAGGGGCTTGGTATGGTTGCCTAAGTAATAAAAGGATATCTAATGGGGAATGCTGATCTTGTTTCCTAGGGTCCTATGTGTGATCTGTTGTGGTCGGACCCAGATGATCGTGGTGGCTGGGGAATATCTCCTCGTGGTGCTGGCTACACGTTTGGGCAAGATATTTCCGAAACCTTTAACCATGCCAATGGTCTTACACTGGTCTCCCGTGCTCACCAACTTGTCATGGAGGTAGGGCAGGGGCTTTCTGCGCTGTGTGATTTGACTCCAGGATCTTCCACCAGTGAGTTTGCAGGCACTGTCACTCAAATGCTAAGCAGGCACATATCGAAGAGGGATTTTTATCATGTGAAAATAGCAAGCGAAGTGGAATGCAGTGCTGCAAACTGCTGCTGCCGAAAGAAGGGATAGTTGCCCCCCCCCCCCTTTTTTTTTCTCTCTTCACTTTTCCAGTAAATGACTGAAGAGATCCTGCCGTGTACCGCACGTGGAAGTGATAATCTACTTAAATGCTGACAGTTTCTCCACTGCTGTATTAAATAGGCTGTCCTAATAGAGAGCAGTCAGACGTGACGGGGATTAAGCTCTAATTTGGGCTGTTGATAGGCTATTCCTGTGTGCTTTCCTGGAGGAATGCCAGGTGGGTCAATGGAGCAGACTTATTTTTAAATATGGTTCAAGTAGATCCTCTATAAGTAGTAACATGTGTCAGAAGTCTCTCCTCTGTAAAGCAGTGATTCCAGTACTTAGTAAATTAGATCTGAAGGCTTATTTTAAGCCCTCTTTTATTTTTTCTTCTGGTGCTATGCATGATTTGTATACAAGATGGATGAACACACATGTGATGGATGGTGTTCTGTGTGGAGCAGTTAAGCTTTCTGCTACCTATCCACAGCTTGCTTTTACAGTAGAGTGTTCTTTAAAAGGATGATTAAGTCAGTTGGAGGCACTTGAAAATGTACTGTTTCTCAGATGTATTTTATCTTTCTGGGCCTTGGGAGGCAGTTGGGAGCTGGACTGAGAGCAGAGCTTTAACAATAACTTTTTTTTCCTTTGATTTTTCCGGCAGGGTTATAATTGGTGCCACGATCGAAACGTGGTTACCATTTTCAGTGCACCCAATTACTGTTACCGCTGTGGGAACCAGGCTGCTATCATGGAACTAGATGACACTTTAAAATATTCCTTGTGAGTAACCTGGCTCAGGCTGTTCTCTTTTATATTTAATTAGGTCTCTGCAGTGTTGGGAGAGCCTGATCCTTTTTGATGGGAGTCTTCCGCAGAAAGCCAGCTGCTTAAACCAGCTTGGCTTTAACACTGTGTGCTCTACCTGCAAGATGATCTAAAAATAAGTAGTGAATTAAGCACTTAGAAGCTCTTTGCTACTCCATGCCTCTTTTTCCTTGCTCTTTGAAAAGTAGGAGCTTCTGCATTCTGTTATTCCCACCTTTGCCCAAATATAAAATCATTTTATATTTGTTTGTTTTGTGGTTTGGGTTTTTTTGGGTGTATTACCAGGCTTTGTAAAGGCTTGCAAGAAAGTGAATTTTGCATCCAGCTGCCCTCCCTTGCACAGATGGGCCATGGAGACGTTAACTGCATAAACAGAATTTTTGTCGGCTGACGTGTTTGCCTCCTACCAGTTGTCATTTTGAGGGACCTCATATGTCCTCTGGATTTAGATGCTGCGGGGTTGTGGGAGGGCTGAACCACACTGTGTGGGAGCAGCCGGGATGAGCAGGAGAGCAGCTTTGTGGGCACTGTAGTGTTTCAAAATACCTGCTATGGAGAGGGAGAAACCAACCCTTTCTCTTGTCCACAGCCTTCAGTTTGACCCGGCGCCTCGTCGCGGAGAGCCTCACGTTACCCGTCGTACCCCAGACTACTTCCTATAAATGTCTCCTAACCTCCGTAGAAGGAAGTACACCTGGCATTTTAAAGAGCAACAATATTTACACGTCTCTGTAAGAAAGCGGGTTTCGTCTCAACTAAAAATCCCCATCATGGACCAAAATGTGCCATACTGAGGACGAAGAGCATTTAGCACAACTTGAGACTGAATTCCTTACAACACTATATATCCTATACCTATCAGTCCAACAGTCAGTTTGCCTGCTGTATTTGTGGTCATTGTTTTTTGTGGGGTTTTTTTTGTTTTTTGTTTTTTCCCCTATTCTGGACTGTCCAGAAAGAAGATAACTCTAACACTTCCATCTCCTTTTATGCTTCTTTGTAAAAAGAACTTTTTAGTTGTAGTGGATAACCGGCATGAGTGTAGAGTTTGGAGTTTTATTTTCAAGGGACACTAACTTCTGAAACTGCCACTCGCTTTTTGTTTTATCGGATGACGACCACCTTAACTGGAGCAAGGAAGTAAGGGGAGGGAGGGGGGTGGGTGTCATGAGGGGGCCGCTGCGGCCTTCCCTGTGCGGAGCTTGGTTTCAGTCGTGGCTTCCACCACCCTCCCGCCCGCCTCTTTCCGCTGT